CAACACCTTGTGTATAACAAGTCTTCTATGGACCAGTCTACAGATATAAAGAGTACAACACCTTGTGTATAACAACTCTTCTATAGACCAATCTACAGATATAAAGAGTATGATACCTTGTGTATAACAACTCTTCTATGGATCAATCTACAGATATAAAGAGTACAACACCTTGTGTATAACAACTCTTCTACAGACCAATCTACAGATATAAAGAGTATGATACCCTGTGTATAACAACTCTTCTATGGATCAATCTACAGATATAAAGAGTATGATACCTTGTGTATAACAACTCTTCTATGGACCGACCTACAGATATAAAGAGTATGATACCTTGTGTATAACAACTCTTCTATGGATCAATCTACAGATATAAAGAGTACGATACCTTGTGTATAACAACTCTTCTATGGATCAATCTACAGATATAGAGTATGATACCTTGTGTATAACAACTCTTCTATGGATTAATCTAAAGATATAGAGTACAACACCTTGTGTATAACAACTCTTCTATGGATTAATCTACAGATATAAAGAGTATGATACCTTGTGTATAACAACTCTTCTATGGATCAATCTACAGATATAAAGAGTACAACACCTTGTGTATAACAACTCTTCTATGGATCAATCTACAGATATACAGAGTACAACACCTTGTGTATAACAACTCTTCTATGGATCAATCTACAGATATAAAGAGTACAACACCTTGTGTATAACAACTCTTCTATGGATCAATCTACAGATATAAAGAGTACAACACCTTGTGTATAACATCTCTTCTATAGATCAATCTAAATCAGTAAATAAGATAGGAAGCCTGGTGATCCATCAGGAGTCTTAGTTGTTCAGGGAGTCACTGTTCTTCATGAGATCACAGTATCTTCACACTGATTTAGATTACTATTGTAAGATAAACCTACAGTTAATGTGACTTCATTCAATTTACAAGATAAAGTGAGACTGAAGTTATGATTATTTTAAAACATACGTTTTTTTTAGTTTGTTGGGCTATCTGTGCTGTGCCCACCAAATGGTGTTTTAAACAAAGGTGATGCATTACAAATGGTGTTTTAAACAAGGGTGATGCATTACAAATGGTGTTTTAAACAAGGGTGATGTATTACAAATGGTGTTTTAAACAAGAGCAATGTATTACAAATGGTGTTTTAAACAATAGCAATGTATTACAAATGGTGTTTAAAACAAGAGCAATGTATTACAAATGGTGTTTTAAACAATAGCAATGTATTACAAATGGTGTTTAAAACAAGAGCAATGTATTACAAATGGTGTTTTAAACAAGGGTGGTGTATTGCAAATGGTGTTTAAACAAGGATAATGTATTACAAATGGTGTTTAAAGAAGAGCAATGTATTAGAAATGGTGTTTTACACAAGGGTGATGTATTTGAAATGGTGTTTTAAACAAGGGTGATGTATTACAAATGGTGTTTTAAACAAGAGAATGTATTACAAATGGTGTTTTAAACAATAGCAATGTATTACAAATGGTGTTTAAACAAGAGCAATGTATTACAAATGGTGTTTTAAACATACTACAAACGGTGTTTTAAACAAGGGTGATGTATTACAAATGATGTTTTAAACATACTACAAACAGTGTTTTAAACTAGGGTGATGTATTACAAATGAAGGTTTAAACAACAGTGATGTATTACAAATGATGTTTTAAACTTATTAAAAATGGTGTTTTAAACATAGTGCAAATGGTGTTTTAAACAAGGGTGATGTATTAGAAATGATGTTTTAAACAAGGGCAATACAGCAAGACTATCAATTCCCTTTACAATCTTAACACCTCAATCAAATCCCCCCTAACTCTTCTTTTTAAAGAGAAGACAATTTGTGAGATTTCAGCCTCTCCTCATATGACACCCCCATCCCACGCACCATTCTCGTAACTCTTCTCTGAACCCTTTCCAACAATTCAATGTCTTTCCTAAGGTAAGGAGCCCAAGACTGAACACAACATTCCAAATGTGGCCTGACCAGTGACCTGTACAATGAAATTATAACCTCTTTAGACTTGTATTCAATATTTCTGCAGATACAACCTAAAATCTTATTTGCCCTACCACTAGCAACAACACACTACTTGGATGGCTTTAGAGACTGATTGACTATTTCACCAAGATTCCTTTCCTTCAAAACACTATTAAGGTTATTCCCATCCAAATTATACTTATAATTCAAATTATGATAACCCACATGCATTATCTTGCATTTATTGTAATTAAAACTCATTTGCCATTTCTCTGCTCAACTCACTAAATGATCTAAATTCTTTTGTAAATCAGCAGCATCCTCTTCACAGCTAGCAACACCCAAGACCTTAATATCATCTGCAAATTTAAGTAATTTATTGACTATTCCTTCATCTATGTCATTGACGAAAATGATCAAAGGTCCTAAGACTGAGCCCTGAGGTCTATAATTACTGGGATAACTTTTATCATCTCCCTTGAAAAGAGGAGTTACATTAGCTAACTTCCAATCCTCTGGTACCTGTCCACTATTCAAGGACTGACAAAAAATAGTAGTAAATGGCTCACATATCCAATCTTTAACCTCCTTCAAAACCCTTGGGGAAATATTACCTGGCCCAGAAGCCTTATCATTTTTTAAACTTCCCAATTTTTTCTCAACCAGCTCAGAATTAATGCAGTCATCTTGTTTGATCTCATTTCCCTCTATCAACTGTTCAAGATGTGGAATACTGCTTAAATCTTTGTTAATAAGAACCAAAGAAAAACTTAATAACCCAGCCATCTCATAATCCTCAGATACTAGCCTTCCTTTATCACTCCTCAAGGGTCCTACCCCATCTTAACATTCTGTTTACCCTTAATGTATTCAAAGAAATCCTTGCTGTTAATTTTTAAATTCTCAGCCAACCTTTTCTCATACAACCTTTTTGATGTCCTAGTGTCCTGTTTCACTAACTTTCTTGATCTTTTATAATCTTCTAAATTTCCTGTCATACCAGTCAATTTAAATTTCTTAAATTTATTATACTTTTCTTTAATTTTATCTCTTAAACTCTTTGTGAGCCTACC